ATATACTTAAAACTAAAGTTATATAACTGACAAAACCACACTAGTTTTATTTATAAACCTTTTTTTTAAATAAAAATAATAATAATATGAATGTAACTAATAAAACATATTTTTAAGTGGTGGAGAATGGGTAACGAGCGGAATCACCTTACGCCAAGGATGGTTCGATACACTCTCATCAAAATATATGATATATCAAGATTAAAAACGTTAATTATTATGAATGTATATTTAGAGAATTTTTTTTTTCACACTTCTCATTAAATTTTTAATTTCACCTTGTATGGGTAAATGGGTGGGAGGTTGGGGACACAGACAAGGATTTAGGATTAAGAGTTTGAGAGTTTTAAATTTTAGGGTAATGCGGTTCAAACTCACAACTTTAGCATGAGAAGTATTTCTACGACTTTTTTTTACCAGTTATTATGGAGTTGTCAATCAATTTTTTTAGTGAGTTCACAAGTTTATATACATACGTCCTCCGTTCGCTATTGTTTGTCATGATTTCTATTTTTAGAGTCAAACTATAAGAACTTTGACTAACATTTTAAGATATATTTTTTATCATATTGATATGCAAAAAATTGCAATTTATAATACTTTTCATATAATTTTTGGATATCTAATTTTTTTTGTTTAGAATATCGAATTAATGTAATCTAATTTAACCTTGAAAATTAATCAACTTAACTTTCGCTAGCGCAACATGACAAATAAAAATAAACGAAGAATATATATATTTATAACGTTATAAAAAAATTAGTGAATTTATCCGAATCGAGGGGGCGGGGTGGGGGTGGGGGTGGGGGGTCTGACTCATGTGTGCATATGAGATGAATTGGTGTCCACTCACATCCACGTTGGTGAAGAGTAAAAAGATGAAAAGTAAAAGGCTGCAAGCAGCTGAAGCCAAACATATTTTTATTGTATTCACATGATTGTTGGCTTTTTCCACTTTGGTAAAATATATTTTTTTTTACCACAAGAGTCTCATGTTCATCTTTATTCGAGTTATTATTCTTTAGATTATTTTTTTCAATAAAATAAAATAAATTTAGTTAATAAGCTGTACGTTGGTTCTTTATTTAATTAATTAATGCCAGTTGGGAGTTAGGGATTGTTTATTGTTATTTGACCGTTGGAAATTTCTGTTAGGAATTTTAGTTTTTTTTATACTACAATTTAAGTCATCGAAAATTTATATTAAATTATCACGATTTCATTTTTTTATTTCGTTCGCCATAAAAGATTATTATTCTTATTTTGTTTTAAATATTTAGTTCTTAATCGTATCTTTTAAATATTTTAGTTCTTAATCGTATCTTTTTTACTATACTTGCATTTATCTCAACATCCTCAATTCTATCCGACTTTTTATTTTACATTCATATAAATATAATTCAACTTATAATTAAACCTAAATAATAAAAATAATTTAATAATTAGCAAGTCTGAAGCTAATTAAAAAGAAAATTAAAAAGGGAGGAACCAAATTGTATTATGCATTATTGTACTAGAAAAAAAATGCTTCTTTGTAAGCAAAATACAGTAATGATTTGACTACTGAGAGCTGATGGTTTTTTAACAGTCTTTTACGATGACAATATAAAGTATAAAAATTATTTTCGACAGATACACAATTTTAAAAAAATAAAACAAAAACATTAATAACAAGAAATAACATGATTATGATAATTAGTAATTGAGTGAATGATAAGTAATTTTTCATCTTTACTCAGATGTTTAGAATGTCAATCTCAGTTACTTTTGTTCGTGAGTGTTTTAATAATTATTAATTTCTTTTTCTAAATTTCCACTTGCAAATCACACATCTCCAAACTGTCACCATTCGAATATATTTATATCATAAAAGGAAAAAAATGATGAGTCAATAAAATTTTAATATTGTTAATTTATTAATATTCGATCAGTATAATTTCTGTCAAAAAGAGCTAAATTAAACGATACTCATATGATATGTCAGTCATTATAGAGGTCAATCATAGGCCTAATAAGCAGTCTAATTAAAAACATAAAAAAAGGATTCTTAAAATGGAATCCTAAGAGATCTTGATTATCTTTTATTGGCAGTCCACTCTTATTTAATTTCTTTGAGAAAAAACAAATTATTACTCCTCCTTAAAAAACTGTACATTATTATCATTTGAAAAAAGAAGAAATTTTTCTAAGCCTGATTACAAAAACTCTCGGAATACATGGAATACATGGGAAGTTCACACAAGTGATAACATATCAAACTTGTGATCCATAAATTCTCCCCCTAACCAAAACTCTCAAAGTCCTTAAGGCTACATTGTGAATGCTGATTAAGTTAAAAGGAACATGTCTCTATTAATAAAACCCTAAACATTTTCCTACTAGAAAAATGACTAGTCAATCCAAAATCTTTTCCTAAAAGGAAAATTTATTTATTGTAAGAAGTTTAGGGCAAATAAAATCCAACAACTTGCATGTTTATGTAATTGAAGATAGAGTTTTGCAATTATACAAAAGATAAAAGTTGTTGTTATCCTTTCCTTTCGATTTTTGTGTTTCTTTTCTTTTTTGATAACCCCTTAACGCGAAATTCTGAATAGTATACTTATAAAGACCATAATTTATTTATTTTTTACATTTCACGTATCTATAATTAAAAATTAATGATTCAGAAGTCTATTGAGATCAAAACGAAATAAACAAACTTCAAGTTGAAATTAATGAAGTCACTAGCTAGCTAGGGTGGTTTTTATTAATAACCCTAGTTCTAGTTTTTTATTTAATAATTGAAAAAAAATTGTACCAAGTTGTCAAAAAACACATTTAATTTGAATAGTTCGAAGATAGGACGTAGCATATCTCTGGGAATATATCTTGTAATGTCTGAAGTAGACAATAATTAACGTAAGTCAATGCCTTTGGGGTCATTGTTTGTATGAAACTGTGTCTTGTGAAGCATCACATGGAGTTCACAGAAAGGTGCTAGCTATCCCAAAATAAATCGAACCTCCACATGAATATCAATTATACGATTAATTTTGACAGTATCGAAACTACTTTATTTTTAATCAAAAATGAATAATAATATATTAAAGATTCAATTATTTGATTCGTATAAAATATACTTCTGATGACACCAAATATATATTATTTGAGTGAAACAAATTATATTTATACAAATTATCCCAAAAGAGAGTGTATTCATGTTTTTTCTTTGTCATGTCAATATTCAGAAGGATAAAGACTATCAAACAGTCGATCTCAGGACATTGTTTAAGTTTAGCCGTACTTACGGTGTAATTAATAATTTGTATCAAGTTTAAATAGAAAGAATTTTAAGGTATTCGATCTGCCACTTGAACTTTTTTCTTTTCCTTTGAGAAATAATTATATATTGATCATCGCCTTGAAATAAATAATACTCTCTTAATTTCTGTTTATATGTCATTTTTATTAAAAATAGATAGTCTTTAATACTTTCTCTATTTCTGTTTATATATCATCCTTATAAAAAAAATAATTTTTAATATTTGTCATATTACAAAATTCACCGATAAATGACACTATTCTTTTTATTAAACTCTTTAGAGTTATTAATCTTGTAAATACATACATGACCAACATAGAAAAACTAAATAAATAACTCATGTCTATTGGTGAAATTCACCAATCAAAATAAATTTATTCATGCTAATTGATTGAACTAAGAAAGCACTAAATAAAAATATAATAATAAACTTACATAATCTGTTAAGAAACATAAAATTTAAAAATGACATATAAATAGCAACGAGGAAATTAATTAAGTAAATACATGTCAACGTGAATGAAAAGGTATGTTTGTATTGTGGTAAATTTTCAAATTGTATATTTATTTATTTAATTTTTATTTTTTTTATTATTATTATTATCTTGTTCCCAAAAAGGTTTGACCGAAAGGTAACTCTTTTGACTGACAAAAATAATATAGTCCACTAGTAATAGATCTTCCTCCTCTCATGTGCTACAACGTGATATCTGTATCACTGCACAAACAATACAATTAGGATGAAAAAAATAAAAAAATAAAGGAACTAGGACAAATTTTAATTAATTATTTATCTTGTAAATTCAAGGTTTATTTTAAATTCTCCCCTTAGTTCTACCCAACTATAATATTGTTAATTCGACATGCATTTCACCTATGAGAATATTTAAAGAAGACCAAAGGACCTCTTGTAGGGGTATTTTGGCAGAAGATATTAAAAAAAAAAAATACATATATTAATTTGATGTTATTAATATAAATTCATATTTTGAAAGTTAGTATAATGAGTGCCATAAATATAATGTATTCTTGTGCTTAATAGATAAAATTCGGATTAAAATATCCCTTAATTAGTTGAGTGGAATATGATATGTGCTCAATAAAATAATATCAAATCATATCATATTGAAATTTTTAACATCGTAATTTATAATATGGTATATATTTTAATTTTTTTGGTATTTAATACGATATTTGGTATTTAGAAATAACATATTGAATATCATATCGAAGTATATAATTACATAAATAACATATATATATTATTAAAATACTAACAAATATGCAACCCAACATTAGGATAAACTAAATATTTAGAAGTTGCGACTTTGACTACTCTATTTTGATCGAAAGGTATTTAAAATTGTATTGATTAACAAAAAGAATTGTTTGTAATTTATTTTGGATGTATATTTCTACATGTGTAAAGTGTTCGTATGATATAATTGAGATCTTTTTTTAATCGTCGAAGTCATATTCGATTACAAGTAGTTTCATATCAAAGGTAAAACGCTTCCTAACAAATATGACCCCGTACTTAAGAATAAAGAAGTTCTTAGTACTCCACGAGAACCATCGTTAGTAATGTAAATCTGTGAATTTGGGCCTAAACTCCATGAGTAGGCCCATCGGGTCGAAATGTGAAGGAATTTTAGCCCAAATGAACCGCGAGTATGGGAAGAAGAAAGTGCGAGTACAATACACCAATTTGGAGCCCTAATTGTTAATTTTTAGGTAAAAACTGTACTCTCTATACTCGCCCCCAATTTTCAGTAGCTGTGATCATCACAATTCTCTACTGGCACTGTAAATTCCTCTTTTTCCTTACATATGTTTATACATGCAAACTTTGTAGAGTATTTTATTTTTTTTCATATGAAAAGTTTTCTCAATTTTGGTTATTTTTATTTCTACATTTATATGTTCAAGTACTTGATAAATTGATATATGTTTGTGAATATGAGAATGTTGTGGTATAGGTGATTTTTATAGTTAAGTGATGTTTGTTATGATGAAGGCATTTTTCTAAAGGAAAAAACATATTTTCTTTGCTGTTTAGTTGGTGAGATGAAAATATTTTTCAAAGAAGTATATGTTACTCCATCCGAACCAATTTAAGTGTCTTAATTTCCTTTATAACCTGTTTAAAAGAATGTTTCTTTCTGTGGTTAGTAAGTTTTTCAATTTCAACATCTCAAGTGACAAGTTTAAGACCACAAGATTTAGAGAACTTCAGACATTTTTCAATTAAGATCACAAGATTCAAAATCACCCTTTTCTTAGACACTTAAATTGGGATGGAAGGATTAAGAGTTAAAATTATGTTGACAAACTCAAAGAGTCTTTTGGTAAAAAAAATTAGTGCTAGAGATTAGTACTTAATAATGCCTAGCAAGTATGAACAATATGGAGCTAACAACATCCTCTCTATATATTTTTGAAGAGATGTGTGCTTCTGTGACATGTTATATAGAAAAGAATTCTGTGGTTGTGCTTTGACAATGTTAGTTCTCATTATTTAATTAAAAAATCCAATTGTTGGTCATTAAAGAATACAAAAGGAAGAATTTCAAATTTACAAGATACGATCTATATGTTTCAGGAGACTATATTTATTGGATTAAGCATTTCTATCTCAAATAGAAACGAGAACTTATAAATTGTGGATGACTTGACTTGAATTTTGTTCTATTAGCCATAATGATGACCAAATAAGAAAAGACATGTTTCAGGAACAAAATTGAGTACTTGGATTGGGGGAACACATTTTACCTCAATGGTTATGGACCTTGTGCCGCCATCAGGTGATCATCACGAGAAAGAGGACTGTGGGCGGCATACTTGTGTACGAATTGAAAGTGCTAATGGAGAACTTCGTGGTACTGTCACTGCTTCGAAGAGTGTTTGCCTGGGAATAGAGAATGCAGGAACTAGTTGGAATGAAAGAACATCTAATGGCGCAAATGTACTGCCAAACACAGATTCTTTGGCTGTGAATTGCTATAGGAACTTGGAGCCTCATGATGGTATGGAATTTGACTCGAAAGAGAATGCCTTTTCACATTACAAAGAATATGCTAAGTCCATTGGATTTTCCTCAATAATAAAGGCTAGCCGTCGATCCAGAATTTCTGGAAAATTTATTGATGCAAAATTTGTTTGCAGTAGATATGGAAGTAAGCGTGAACCTTCTACTTCTGGCGCAGAACCTGTTCCAAGTACTGATGCAGCAGGAAGTAATCCCGTGAAAAGAAAAAAAGGCAGAATAAACAGGTCTTGGTCAAAAACAGATTGTAAGGCTTGCTTGCATGTAAAGAGAAGGTCTGATGGAAGGTGGGTTATTCATACTTTTGTCAAAGAGCATAACCATGAAATATTTCCGGATTGGACCAGTTATCCTCCAGGTCACAGGAACATTGATCTGGGTAAAAATGATGCAGATGCATTTCATGCTATCCGTGGGAGGACGAAAAAGACTTATGCCTCGACATCTAGGCATTCTGGTTTTGTGAAGAAAGTTGAGAAGCAAAAGAATGGTGGCACAAATAGTAGTCCTCAATCTTTGGCTTTAGATGAGGGAGATGCACAAGTTATTCTTGAGTATTTTCTTTGCATGCAAGATGAAAATCCAAACTTCTTTTATGCATTGGATTTGAATCAAGAGAAACGCTTGAGAAATGTCTTTTGGATTGACGCTAAATGCAGGCTTGACTGTGGTAACTTCAGTGACGTAGTTCTTTTTGACACTACCTATATAACAGACGAATATAAGCTGCAGTTTGTTCCTTTTATTGGCGTCAATCATCATTTTCAGTCCATATTGCTGGGATGTGGGCTGATTGCAGATGAGAGTAAGTCAACTTTTATTTGGTTGATGCGAGCATGGCTCAGGGCATTGGGTGGACAAGTTCCAAAAGTAATTCTAACTGATCAAGGCAAAATACTGGAAGAAGTTATTGCTGAGGTTTTACCAGATTCACGCCATTGCTTTTGTTTGTGGCATGTACTGAGTAAGATCCAGGAGAAGCTTGGTCATGTCATAAGGCAGCATGAAAGTTTTCTCTCCAAATTCAATAAATGTATTTTGAGGTCAGCAACCAATGAATTGTTTGAAAAGAGGTGGTGGAAGGTGGTTGCTAGATTTGATCTGGGGAATGACTTGTGGATTAAATCATTGTATGAAGATCGGCTAAGGTGGGTACCGACATACATGAATAAAATCTTCTTGGCAGGAATGTCTACGATGCAACGAGCAGAAAGCATTAGTGCTCTTCTTGATAAATGCATATTATGCAAGACGACATTAAAGGAGTTTCTTGACCAGTATAAAAAACTGCTGCAAGAGAAGTGTCAAGGAGAGGCAAATGCTGATTTTGAGACGAGACATAAACAACCAGGACTGAAATCTCCCTCCCCTTTTGAAAAGCAGATGTCAACTTTATACACTCATACGATATTCAAGAAATTCCAAGTTGAGGTTTTAGGAGTGGTTGCTTGCCACCCGAAAAAGGAAAACGATGATGGTGAGAATGGCACATATAGAGTCCAAGATTTTGAAGTAAATCAAGAATTCATTGTCGTATGGAATGAGAGGACATCTGATACTTCATGTTCTTGTCATTTGTTCGAGTACAATGGATTCCTTTGTAGACATGTGATGATAGTTCTTCAGATGGCTGGTGTGCATAACATCCCCTCTAAATATGTTTTAAGACGCTGGACTAAAGGTGCAAAGAGTAGAGAGAAGACGAGACAAGTAGCTTTGGTTGATTCCAGAGTTCAACGCTACAATGATCTATGTCAAAGGGCATTTGAGCTAGGTGATGAAGGGTCGTTATCTCAAGAGAGTTATAACATTTTATCTAGTGTTCTGGAAAATTTTCTGAGAACATGTGAGACCGTGAATGATGCAAATTTAAATGAATCAGAACCTTGTTCTCTCCCAAATCAAGGTCTTAAGGACCTTGAAGTATTCACAGATAGAAACAACCCAAGTAAGAGTAATGGAAAGAACATAGCAAGAAAAGAGAAGGAAGTAAGTTATTGATCTTCTTTCTATTTCCATTATGCAAGTTACTCAGGAGTCATTTGGTAGGGTGTATAAGAATCGTGTTGAATAAAGTGTATTAGTAATGCTGATATTAGTAACTTTGGTATTAGTTATGTTGAGCTTATTTCTTATGCACTATTTAGTTTGGTGTAGTAAAATAACACGCATAGCATAATTTCTAAAAGGAATTATGTGTTTACAATAATAGACTCCACAAATACGGTGAAAAGGATGAGAAAAAGGTTTTGAAGAACAATTGTGTGTTTAACCACACGCTAATGCATGTACTAAAAACCTTTGCATTGTTAATACCATGGTTTGCCATGTATTTGTTATACATAGCATAATGTCAAATAGAGTGAGTAACTAATGCTTGTTACACATAGATTGAACAACTATACCAAACAAAATATTGATAATACACAAAGCTAATGCATGAATTATTTGTTCTAATGAATCCGAACAAACGACCCCTAAGTGTTGATTTAGTTCATTCTTATGTATCTTTTAGGTAAAATACGGAGCAGAATATAATGTCCATGGCAAGGATAGATAGTAGATATCTATTGGCTGATTTATCTCATGCATTCCATTTACGTTGCAGGGACAAATAGATTTCGGAGAATCAACTGTGGATTATCCTTTCGGATCACATTCAGCCATACAGCCAATGGTGATTTTACTTGTAAATTTTGTCTTATTTGGCATATTTGGGGGGTGGGTGGGTGGATAAGTGTCTTTAGCAAGCCATGATATTTATATGGCATAAAAGCATGTCTTTTAGGGTAAAAGGGAATTTTAAGGAGAGTTTTTTTTTTCATACATAGAAAATTGTCATTTTTAAACAGATTATAAAGGAAAGAGAGTCACATAAATTGGAACATAGGGAGTTTTTGAATAATCATTGGTTTTGTGATCCAAATTCTATGATACATGTTAGGCCACATATATTCCAGAATTCCATTTCCTGATGGCTACTACAGCAGCCCCCAAATGATTCAAGGAGTGGTATGTAATGTAGCGCATGAGTTCAGAATGACGGAACTACCAAGTGAGTATTTTTCCTTTTGGTGCAGGGACAATTGAATACAAATATCCAAGGCTATGCCAACCATTTAAACATACTGGGGCTGGTGATTCAATCAATAACTCCAATCACTGATGTGTTCTATGATTTCTAGTGTTGTCTCAAACTAATTCGGTTATCTTTGTTCTTTTTTAGGGACAATTGAGTACACTTGTTTCAATTGAAGATGGCTCTTATCTCTCTCAACCTAGATTGCATGGACTGGTACTATTTACACATTATGTAAAGAGTTTTTGCTGTGTCAGGATATCATTTCCTGTTGCTTTGCTGAAGTTGGGTAGATAGATTAGAAAAATTCTATAAAAACTAAATTCTAAGAATGGCTAAAAGATCAATGGTTTCTCTGATTTACTAGCGTCAGATCAAACAGTAAATCGTGAGCCAATCACAACCGCATGCCAACCGAGGTTTCTTCAAAGACTAACCAAATACACACTGTGACCTTCTACTCTCTAGTTTACAGTTTTCAGTTTCCCGGGAATTTTGCATCCAAGCCGATTTTCCGATAATAGCTACACCTTGTGACAATATTTATTCAATGATTTATTTTCTATCCATGACTTCTAGTTTTGGCTGTTTGATGTCTAGAGAAGACCACAGCTTTGTTCGGGTTGGTCTTGGTCTTGTATATGTTTTAGGTTTTGAGTCACAGTTTATGAAATTCATAGAGTACTTTTTAGTTTTGTTTGTTTAAAAAAAATTTCTAATCCAAATGTCTTGCAAAAGATCTTTTCTCGAAATTGATATCCAAACACAACATTTTCCAAAAGGAAATAATGTATACTGCCAATTGTTGCTTTACTCCTGATATTAGATTATCATTCTTCTCTCTTGTAGGGACGAGTGTATTTTAGGCGTGCAGATGCCCAAAGTTCTTTTGGGGTTCAGGACAGTCTCCAGGAGGTGCTATACTTTTTTATCATTTTGCCTTGTTCTCTTGTTGTTTCACCACCATTTTGCTCCTTTGTACTTAATTAATTTCCATTTTCTGGGTTTTATCATCAGTCTACTATGGCCAATATGGAGAACTTGTGCTCAAAGAATTTATCTTGACAATTGCTCATGCTGCAGTTCCTTGGCCAACTTTACCATCTCGTAGTTTGTACATATATGAGACCATAGCCTTGTGCACAGAACTTCAACAGGTCCGATTATTATTCTTATGTCTTTTGTAGCTTCCATAACTTGACAAACATGACGGACATGTATTATCTAATTGAAGTGTGGAAGAAATGAGGGCGAAGATACTATTTTTCATACTTTTTACATTTGAAGAAGGAATGTGAAGTTTGGAAGTGTAAAACTAGGTCAGATCTAATTTCACTATTTAAATACTACAGGTTTGGAAGTAGAGATTACTTTGAGTCTTGAGTTGTCTATAAAGATATAGCTTGAATTAGTTGAGTCACTTTGTAGGTGAAATAACAGTAGTTGAGTAATTTTTCTGTTACAAAACAAAGTTGAGTGACTTTCTGAGAAAATTATCATTAGTTGAGTGACAAATGGATCTTTTCTTTTGGTTTCTGACCGAGGCTCTTTTCTCCTTAACAATTTTTTTTTCTGAATTGAATCAGCATGGAATGACGTTGTTGAAGAAGCGTGTCAAAGCGGAGTGAGCGTTATTGGAGAGCCAGGAAGGGCATAAGGGACAGATTGCAGTGGAGTGGAGTGCTGTAACAAGTATGGAATCTCGCTTGTTTTGACCAATGTGAGACACTTCAGGCATTAAATAATCGGTAGGTCATCATTAGACTCCGCAATTTTTTGTCTTTATGAAGTGTCTTTGATAGCTAATCTACATCTCTGAATGTGCTTGATAGTTTTGAGGAATTGTCTACATAATCAGAAGGAAGTATGAGTGTGTGTATTATAACAAATTTTTTTGTCAAGTTATAAAAATACTTGCAGTAATTACGAAGATGTTCCTTGTATTTTGTAATCAAATACATAATACAAATACCGTGGAAATCCTAGTAGAAGGACTAGAGTCCTTTTTTCATTTTAACTTCAGCCCTTAAATTTGCAGGTTTGCTCAATTATTTCAAAAGAAAGAAGTAAAAGAATTTTCTTTAGAATCATTTAAAACACCACAAGAACAACAAAAAGGAACTGTTAATTTCCTTTGTTCATTCCATAACTCAAACCTTGCCAAAACAAAATTGTCAAATTTCTCATATATCTGTGGAGACAACAAATATAAAAATGTCTTAATTCAAAGAACGCTGAATGGTAATGGATTTTCATGAGATATAAACAAATTTCATCCAGTATAACATAAATAGAAATCTCCTTAATGTCACATCTTTACAAATTATGTGTGCCATGATTTCCATTTTCTATCTAAAAACCCATAATAGGCATGTCTCCATGGTCTTATGAAAAGCAAAGGAGCACTTACACCCCAAAAAGCCACAATAAATCCTATTGCCATGGAAACGTAGAACCATTCCACTTCATTATCATCATCTTCTTCTTCTTCATTTTCAACCTCAGGATTTTTACTGCAACGCTCCACGAGTGGAAGCCCACACAGTTTATTTCCAGTAAAACTAAAAGGGCTAAAGCTTTGAAGTTGAGTGCTTACAGGAATCTGCCCTGATAATTTATTGTAAGATACATTCAAGTAGCTCAAAGAGGACAAACTCGAAATGCTTTGGGGTATTTCACCAGAGAGTTGATTATTCGAGATATCAAGTGATTCTAATACCTTCATCTTGTCAATGTCCCTTGGAATACTACTAGTCAGCTGATTGTGGGAGAAATTTAATGATCTCAATCCAACAAGACTTGTAAGACTCATAGGAATGTTTCCAGAAAGGCTATTGTTAGAAAGATCCATGCTTGTAAACAATGACAAAATGGTATCATACTGATACATGTTACCCTTAGTTGCTACTCTTGCACTCTCCCTGAAAACTCCAACATAATAAGAATAATCCATCTCGTCGTCTCCGTCTCTAATTTCCTTCCTTCCATTCACCATTGCTGTGAAATTGTTAACACACCGAGGTATAGCTCCAAACAAATTGTTGTTGGCAAGATCCAAGATTTGAAGATCATTGAGCTTGCAAAGTTCTGGAGCTAGTTCACCATCGAATTTATTAGACCGAAGACTCAGGACTATCAGCTTTGAAAGTGTACCAAACCAAGGTGGTAAATTTCCATCTAACTCATTCTCATTCATGTCTATTTTCCACAATCGTGTGCAGTTGTTCAAGGATGAAGGCAATGGACCAGAAAGTCTGTTTCTTTTCAAGTCCAAAGATTTCAAATTGCTTAAAGCTCCAATGGATCTTGGGATTCCTCCGGTAAGCTTATTCTCTCCCAAATTGACAACTCTCAACTCTGGCCAACTCATCCAACAATCAGGAATTTCTTCGGAGAAACGATTTCCCCCAAGGTGTAGAATCTCTAACATGTAAGATTCACTCTTTTTATCACACAAGAAGCTTGTTAAACCTTTCGAGAAAGAGTTATCTGAAAGGTCTAACTCTGTTACCATGGTTGGAATATGAGGGAGTGAACCACTGAAGTTGTTGGAACTCAAGTATATCAACCAAGGACCTCCACTTCCCATGGAGCTATCAGAAATTGAGAAAGTTGGAATCTCACCAATGAGGTGGTTGTGAGACATATTGAGGAAACGAATTTGAGACGATAAGTTCCAGAACCAAGTTGGAACTTCACCTACTATGCCAGCATTCGATATGTCCAAATTCATGATTGATTGTTGAGTCTGGATCCACAAAGGGAAGTCAGGGCCTAAGCGCCAACCCCCCATTACAATGTCACTAGCTTGAAATGATGGAATCCAATCTGAACTCACCCTTAAAGTCAAATTACTCTTAGATGCAGAGAAAAACTTCAAATTTGTTAAATTGGTGAAATGTTCTTCTGTCAACACCCCTTCCAACCTATTATTAGACATGAAACAGAACTGTAGATTTGGAAGTTGCCCAAAACTTTTTGGAAGATTTCCAATTAGTTTGTTGTCATTTAGTCTTAAGGTCCTCAAAGAAGAACAATTTCCTGAGCCTATTGGAGGACAACCATTCATAGTATTGAAAACCTCAGATACTTCTCCTTCAAATCGATTTTCTGAGAGATCGAGATCTTCTAATTTCCATAATTTCCCAATTACACTCGGTAACTTTCCAGAAAGAAAATTTTCAGACATGTCGATACTAATTAGAGATGTCAGATTTGAAATCGAGTCTGAAACTGTTCCCTCAAGACTGTTATCCTTCATGATAAGTGTTTCAAGATTCTTGCATCCATAGAGCCAATCTGGGATAGTGGAATTCAGATTATTGGAAGCAAGACTAAGATGTGTAAGCTTGGTAAAATCTCCAACTCCATTTGGTATTGGACCCTCAAGACCACTAAAACTCAAATCAAGATATTCAAGATTACTAAGATCAAATAACCATTGAGGTAAAACAGAACCAAAGGAGTTGCTAGAAGCTCTCAATGTTGTGAAAGAAGTCAAGTTAAAAGGACCCTCAGGAAATGAACCAGTGAAATTACTACCAGTGAATTCAAGAGAAACAAGACTACCAAAACCGAAAACCCACCCGGGAATTGGAGAGCCAAAGTTATTCAAGGAAAGATCAAGATTTTCAAGAACAGAACTGTTATGATCAAACAAAGGAGGTATTGAATGAAGACTACAATTCGAAAAACGGAGATTAACCAAAGAAGGAAGCATGCTAATCACCTCAGTCCAGTTTGTAGCCTCACTTAAATCCACACCAGACATGTCCAAACTATCAAGATTCTCAAGACTTGACAACCACTGGAAATCATCAATCTTTAGGCCTTTAAGTTCTGTCCAATTCCATCCATTAATCGATAGCTCAATGACAGAACCAGTTACATTGTGGCAAAAAACTCCTTCCCAGTTACAGCAATCTTCTTTTTCAACCCAAGAAGATAGTACATTTGTGGGATCATTTGCTTCTTTCTTTAACCTTAGCAAAGCTGTTTTCTCATTTTCTTTGCAAATTCCACTGCAAGAACAAAACTTTACAGTAAACAGGACAAGTACTATGTAGTACAGCCCTCTCATTTTTGTGAAATTATAAGAAAAGAATGTGCCAAAAAATGGCATGATATATATATACATAAATTTGGATGACAGATTCTTGGTGGCTTCTTAAATTATAAATGTTAAATGTGATGGCAGCTTTTTAGACTTGGAAAGTGCAAGTTGTTACTTATTTGAATGCATTTCTTTTTGGTGTTTTAAAGTTTGACCATTAGGCTGAGTTGTGTTGAGATCTTTAAAAGGAGAAATTGTTGATTTACATTGAAAGACACGAGCTAAAAGACTCATGGAGAAAAGATTTGTTATTCCTTTCGTGTGATATTTGATTGAGATTGAAATTTAAGAAACGAATGAATAATTTATCGTATATGTAGTTATAAATCATCTCAATAATGATAAAATGAATAATTCATTTTTTCTTGGACAGAATAAAAAAGAAAGTATGACACAAATAAAGTCGAAGGGAGTAAAAAAAAATTTTGGAATGAAAGAGTGATTTAATAAAATGTAGGTAATACAAGCCAAGACCTCAAAATTGACTTCCAGATATGGGCACACACTAAATATTAGAGTATATAGGTTAGATACATCAATTTCTTTGGTTTACACAACCCAAGTGGATAAAAAGAAGACTTTTTGTTTGTCCAAATTGTGTTTGAAATTTTGAGTTTCAACTTTTAACTCATGTACATGTATACTTGGGTGTGGACAGGTAGTGGGGGTGGGCTGGGAAGTCAAATCAAATTCATTAATTATTAATGAAAGAGAATCCAACTAAAACATGTTGAAGATGAAAGTAACCTTTAAAGGAGAGGTTTCAGGTTTGAGTTACGTATTGTCGGGAGCGTCATTCTCAAATGAATACTACAGTGCGCGATTCAAATTTAATCAGACTTTAATATAAGATTTCGAATAGGAAACAAAAACAGAAAAGAGAAGTCACCTAACATTTGCCTACAGAATGTAATATATAAATTTTACAAATGGTCACATAACTGCTCTTGGCTAGATTGTCCTCTTTTTTTCCGTCAACTCTTTTATATTCTTTTGCACAACAGATTTTCGAAACAAAAAAAAATTGTTTTCAACTGAATTTCGAACCATGCATCACTTGATGTTAGAATTTTACAATTATATTTTCAGATCATAAATATTTCGTCACTTTTTTTTGTATCTCGCAAATAGTTATGTAACATTGTACAAGCTATGGTAATTTTCACTTGTGTGTCAATATCATAATGATTCATGTCTTGTTTCACTTGTGTGTAATTACACTTTTACAGTGTATTAATTTTGTGCTAGTATCAAACATATTGGAAGTAGTGATTATCAAATATAAATCGGCAATTTTGTCCTTTTTCATATTGAGTTGCTTTGAACATTTTCATATATAGCCGGGGAAAAAATTCTTTTATTATTATAAACCAAAAAAGTATTAATTCCTCCATTTTTATTTATATTTATCGAATCAATTCCTACTTTTATATTCACCTAATTTGTAATAATAAATTCTATGTTTGTGAGAATAATATATTTTAAAAAAGTAATAATGTGATTATAAATTAAATTTTATTTACATATGAAATAAGTAGCTAGTAGACGATAAATGTTGGATTATTTTAACAAAATAAACGTGTGGGTCAATTTTCATATTTTAAAAAAATCTCAAATCATGATATGAAATTCATAAATTGTGATTTTTGAAGAACGTAGATTCCACCTCATGAGATAGAAAATACATGTTCAAATCCTGATTTCTCTCTGTCTGTTGTTTGACTTGTGTATACGACTCTCTTATTGTACATGTGTTATGATTTGGCATCAATTTACAATCAAACACATCCTATAAATTACATATTTCATAGTAAGGAGGAAAAATATAATAATAAATATATTTAGGAATAATTTGA